AGCAAACAGTTTCGGGAACAATGGGTCTTAAGAAACTATGGCCTGCTGGCGTCCGGTGCTTATCCAGCAGGTCAGGCCCTTAGGAAGGGTCCCAGGGCTTTGTTCCCAACACATTTGCCTGCAGATTTCATGCTTTCTTTGTTTTAATAGCTAAGTAGTAATTCATTGTGTAAATATGCCTCAGTTTCTTTATCTATTCTTCAGTTGAGGGACATCTAGGTTGTTTCCAGATTCTGGCTATTGTTAATGGGGCTTCTAGGAACATAGGTGAGCAAGTGCCCTTGCTGTATGGTGGAGAATCTTTTGTATATATACCCAGGAGAAGTATAGCTGGGTTTTGTGGTGAGTTATTCCCAATTTTGTGAGAAAGCACCAGATTGATTCCCACCAGCAATAGGGGAGGGTTCCCCTTTCTCCACACCCTTGCCAACATGTGCTCTTGCCTAAGATTTTGATCTTAGCCATTCTGACTGTTGTGAGATGGAATCTCAGAGTTGTTTTGATTTGCATTTCTCTGATGACTAAGGAATTTGAACATTTCTTTAAGTGCTTCTCTGACATTTGAGATTCCTCTGTTGAGAACTCTTGTTTAGTTCTGGGCCCCATTTTCTAAAAATTCTTTATTAATTACACTTTATTCACTTTGTATCCCCCCTGTGGTTCCCTCCCTCCTCCCATTCCAACCCCTCCCTTCCTCCACCCTCTGCATTCATGCCCCTCCCCAAGTCCACTGATAAGGGAGGTCTTCTTTTTCTTCTTTCTGATCCTAGTCAATTAGGTCTCATCAGGAGTGGCTGCATTATCTTCTTCTGTGGCCTGGTAATGCTGCTTCCCCCTCAGGGTGAGGTAATTAAAGAGCAGGCCAATCAGTTCATGTCAGAGACAGTCCCTGTTCCTATTACAATGGAACCCACTTGGATACTGAACTGCCATGGGCTACATCTGTAGAGGGGTCTTAGGTTATCTCCATGCATAGTCCTTGGTTGGAGTATCAGTCTCAGGAAAGACCCCTGTGCTCAGATTTTTTGGTTCTGTTGCTCTCCTTGTGGAGTTCCTGTCCTCTTCAGATCTTACTGTTTCCCACTTCTTTCATAAGATTCCCTGCACTCTGCCCAAAGGTTGCCCATAAGTCCCAGCATTTGCATTGATAGTCTGCAGGGCAGAGCCTTTCAGAGGTCCTCTGTGTCAGGCTCCTGACTTGTTCCCTCTTTTCTTCTTCTTCTGATGATCATCCTCTTTGCCTTTTTGGATAGGAATTGAGCATTTTAGCAAGAGTCCTCCCTCTTGATTAGTTTCTTGAGGTGTATAGATTTTAGTAGGTTTATCCTATATTATATGTCTATATGAGTGAGTATATAACTCGGCAATAAAAAACAAGGAAATCATGAAATTTGCAGGTAAATGGTGGGATCTGGGCCCCATTGTAAAATTGGGTTATTTTTTATTGGTGTTTGATTTCTTGAGTTCATTATATATTTTGGATATTAGCCCTTTGTCGGGTGTAGAATTGGTGAAGATATTGTCCCAATCTGTAGACTGTCATTTCATTCTATTGACAGTGTCCTTTGCCTTACAGAGCTTTTCATTTTCAAGTGTCTCCATTTATTAATTGTTGATCTTAGTGCCTGAGCTATTGCTGAGTCGGTGGGGCTCCCCTTCTCTGAGGAGCAGGGGAGAAGGAATAGGGACTACAGGGAAGACTGGGAGGAAAGGAAGGAAGGGCTACGACCAGGATATAAAATGAAAAAAAAATTAAAATTAAAAAAAGAAAAGTGACAAGCCCCAATTAACCTGTAAACTCCACCTGCCCAAGGACCAGGTAACTTCCTGGAACACTGGGAATTGTATTTATTGAAAGATAACAAGGCCTCATGGGAAAGTACAGTGGCCTATGAGTTTTAGCCATAAAAGATCCTACAGCAAATGTCTCAGGCTACTCAGATGGGAAACCCAGGGTGTGGTCCCGACCAGGTTTTCTCTTTGTCAGTATTTAATATTTAATACAGCTTGCTCCAAATTTGGCTCAAAATGGTGGAATTGATTTTTCTCTGGCAAATCTCGGGTTTAACAGACTCTCTCATTTTCTATTTCTTAATTAATTTTTTTAATGTATCTGGATGTTCTGATATTGAATACATGCATTTTGAGTCATTTTTTTTTCTTTTGATGAATTGACCCTTTCATCATAACTTGTCTTTACAATGGTACCAATCATTTTTCATTTCTGGAGACATATTCTTGCACTTTCTTTTTTCTCATCTGAGCCACTCACATTCTGGGACCCCATGCCTGGGCCACCATGCCTGATGTGCATGAAATATCTTAGTTCTCCTTTCACTTTACACATTCTTAAAAGAAGCAAGCTTCTTGAAGGAACACATGTTTGTCTCTCTTAAATACTTATTTTTATCCATTCAGTAATAAACATTCAATAACTCATTAGTAACAACAGTACTTTCAGATAAGTAGAGTCTTTGTACAGTCAGTTGTAATTTTACCTTCTTGTGTTCTCATAGTTCCTCTCTCTGTCTTTCTTTGTCTCTTATTTTCTCCATTTAAAAGTTTTTATTGATGCTTGTGAATTTCACATTATGCACTACAATCCTACCCATCCCTCAGTCTCTTCACATCTGTCCTCTGCCCTTGCAACCTCCCCCCACAAAGAAAAAAGATTAACAAGGAAAACAGAAAACCAAAACATCTCTTTATGAAAGCTCTGTGTGCCATGGTATGTCACATAATACGCCATTTTGCCCAAACAGGTTTGCTTGCAAATGTTCATTGCAATGAGTCTTTGGTTTGCTTCAAGGCCTCTGGCTTCTTTTGTATTATCAACACTGGATTCCCACCAGGACTCCTCTCAGTATCTTGTTGTTGCCTTGCGTCATGGAGATCCTGCAGGTTTGTATCTTAAGACCAGCTCCTTCGTGCACTCCAGTCTTTCACGGATAGGTTAGATGTTGGGGGGCCAACTTGGAGCCATGGATCTGGGCCTTCATGGAAGCTGAGTTGATCAACCCATGAGCTATTCTAAGCCAGCACCACCAGGGCTAGCTTTTCTGCTGCCCAGGTGAGGGCAGGACCAACTCTCCCACTCTCATGCCCTTGGGACTGGCTCTCCTGTGCCCACACTACCGGGATCAGCCAGCTCTAATGTGCTGCCCAGGTGGAGATATCTTACTTGTTCTTAAGCAATTTACTATAGCTGTGAGTATTTATTACTCTTATAACTTTCTGTACCAAAGATATTTTGTTTTTGGTTACCAGAAACCATTCAGAAACACCTTTTGATTAAGACAAACTATTTTGATGTGAGAGTAACATGACATAAACATAAAGATAAAAATGAAAGACAATGTACTAATGTAGAGGAATTTTAATCCAGCAACATGACTGCTCTGGCAAGGGATATCATCCAAAGACCTTCTAGGTCTATATGATCCAGCTCGAATGCAGACACCCCTTGGATTACAGTATAATCTTTCTGGAATACTGACATACCCTTGGTACACACCTTTAAAAGTAAGGTTAGTTTATAGAAGGAAGCAGCCATGTTTGAAAATAATGTCTAATGGAAGGGTAGACAAATCAGGGAAAGATTTGACAGAATGAGTTAACTCTGAGGAGAACAGACAGGAAAGAGAGGGATGAGGCTGTTTTAGTAGGACAGTTTTACAAAGATAGGTGGCAGAGAGAACAAGCTAGACACAGGTGAAGATAGGTTGAGCCAGAGAATGAGAGGACCCAGAAGATTAGAAGAGATTACTAAAGTTGGTATGAGGCCAAGCAGAGGAATTCAGTATGAAGCAAAGGGAAGCCAATTCAGCTTCAGAAGTTCAGTCAGCTTGGAGAGGAGTTTTGAACTAGAACAGCTGAGTTGAGCCAGCCAGCCAGAGTTCAGAAAAACCTAGAAAGGGTGAGAATTTTCAGCAATAAGCCTCTGAGATGACAACTACATCTGGTGAATAAAAGTTACTTTTACATACTAACATAAAAATGACATATATTTTGAATCTTTCCTAATGTAGTTTACATATTTTTATATTGCTTATTTTTAGTGTGATATTTCTTTTCATTTGTTTTGTGATTTAGCCTTAAAGAGAGGATGTGATTGGCTTATGTACTATTTATGATATTAGAGTATTTTGAATTTATATACACATTCTCTCAGCAGTGAGATTTATATATTACGATGCTTTCTTTTTTAAGGATGTCTGTTTTTTTCAGTTTGAAGAATACCATTCAACATTTCTTGTTGGAAGTTCCTATGGAAATATATTTATCGTATCTCAGCCCCCATCCACCACCTGGGAAATTCTTTATGTCTCATTTCTAAGAGAAAGTATGTTGGGCACAAAATTTTTGTCAGAGACATACAATATTTTATCCAGCCACCTTTTCCCTTCTATCCCTATTCTCTTCCTTTTCCAAGTACCTTTGACAGAGCCCCCTTCACATCCTTGTTTCTCAGGGTATAGATCAGAGGGTTCAGCATAGGAGTAATTATTGTATAAAAGAGGGCAGCAAACTTTCCTTCACTCCCAGAATACCTGTGGACAGGTTGTAGATATGTGTACATGGCTGAACCATAAAACAGAGAAACTACCACAAGGTGGGACCCACAAGTCCCCAGAGCCTTTCTGCGCCCAGCTCTTGACTTGATCTTCAGCACTGCATGAGCAATGTGTGCATAGGTGCCTAGAATTAGTGCTACAGGACAGACCAAAATGAGGGCTCCGGCCACAAACAAGTTGGCCTCTGTTCCTGCCTTGTTCTCACAAGCCAGCTTCAGGAGAACAATCATCTCACAGAAGAAGTGGTTCAGGTGATGGCCACAGAGAGGTATGGTCATGAAGAGGCCTGTCTGAATCAGAGAGTTCAAGAAGGCTGCCACCCAGGAGGACATGGCCAATGCCTGGCAGAGCACAGGGTGCATAATGGTTGTGTAGTGGAGTGGATGGCACACAGCAGCATAGCGGTCAAAAGCCATCACCACAAGGAGCACACACTCAGTTCCACCTAGTAGTAGTGCTATGAAGAGCTGAGCTATACACCCGGCATAGCTGATAGTCTGATCAACTCGGGAAAGATTGATAAGAAGCTGGGGCACAGTGCTACTGGTGAAACAGAGGTCCAGGAAGGAGAGGTGGGCAAGAAAAAAGTACATGGGTGTTTTCAGCCGAAGATCCAGTTGAGTGAGAGCAATAATGGTGGTATTGCCACAGAGGGTTAGAGAGTAGAAAATTGAAATGAAGATGAGGAAGATAAGTTCCAGTTGAGGCCAATCGGAGAAGCCTACCAATGTGAAATCTTCCAAGCTGAGATTGAAACTTCCCATAGCCTCCTGCTTTCACAAGCTGTAGAAGACCATGGAATGCTTCTTATTGCAGAAGACACATAGATACTCCCTTTGCCGAACTAAGTTGACTTCCCACTTTGCTCTATAGAGCCGTCAAAGCTAGGTGAAGGCCTTGCATGTCTGCCTTCTTCCTGTGCTCTCTCCTTCATTTCTGTTGACTGCGCACAGGTTGCATAGGCTGGAGACACAGAATGTCCTTGTTCTAAAGCCCAAGTGAGCTTAGAGCAGCAAAGCCTGCAGTCCTGAAAGATCACCATCAAAATGTGACAAATTCCCTCCCGGGGAGATGCTACACTTATACACACACCAATCTCCCAAGACTGTTATTGACAGATAAACAATTTATGGGCTCACATTGCAGGACCAGAGATGAGACAACAGTTGCACCTTTAATAGGCTTGCTTAGTTATTATTATTATATATATTAATTATATCCTTGCTCCATCTCTTTCTCTAGTTAAACCTCAGTCTCAAATTTGTACTCTAAAGATGAACACATGGTCACTGGCTTTCTTTGGCTGTTCCTCTTCCCAGTATGCATTGACTCAATATCTTTTCTCTGTCTCATTGTTCCTTGTCTTCAATTGGCCGATTGTGTGAGTCTGTTAGTATCAACACTTGAGTCTAGCTATTGGTATTGATGGGGCTAGGGCTTTTGAAGTTAAAAAAAAAATTTACGCTGCCAAAACATGAATTAAAATGTATTCCATATCCATCCCAGAGCCATAAGCTTCATCTTATACTTTGCTACTCAGCTCAGCCTTACTATCTAGGCCCAAATTTTCTCTTCTTAGTTGTATTGTTACCTAGTGTACAGATGATTGGAGCAGCAGTGATGTGGCCTTTGCTTGAATCACATTCCTTCTGCCTATTTCCTGAGTTAATTCAGGCCACCTAGGGCTCTAGATAGCACATTTTCAACTCTGTGGGAATGATGCACTGCCTCCCTCACAGGCTTGCCATGAGGACTCCAGCACACCAATCTGGAGTCAGCTGTTAAGGGAAGAAAATGATCATCGCTCCTTTGTTTTTCTCATTTGCTCCTTTGCTTAGTTTACGAGCAAAGAGTTTCAGCAGAAGAGGAGGAAGGAGTTGCCATGGTGAGTCCACAGGTTTGCCCTTGACTGCGTATTTTCTCGTCCTCCTGCAACTCAGTGCACATGGATATGGACAGATAGGCCTTTGAGGCCCTGTCCGAGAGAAGCTGTCATCTGTCACAAAGGACTGAAAGCCTGCCGCCCCATCATGGGGAAATCACAAACACAAATATGTTTTTCCTACGGTAAGTCTCCCCACCATTCCTATTTCCTCATTTCTCATCATCTCCCCTGTAACAAGCTATTCCCTTATCGCCGCACTTATCCTCCTTAGGAAGTTTCTTTCTTGCTCTCCCACTACTTCTTGAAATTCTTTAAAATATGCTTTTGTGCTCCTACATACCGTGACTCTTCAGCAGTAGAGAACGCAGTAGATGTAAAGGCAAATAGCAGTGACTTCTTTATCACACTGATGACCAACCAGGGGTCTCAACCCTGGGAAAGTCTAATTCGCCTTCTTTTAGCAGTCATTAAGCTCTTCATCTAGGGGCAAGTTTTGTGAAATTTTCTATGCTGTGATGTGAACCCTTGTTGGAATTGTTCAGGTCTTGTTTAGGCAGTCATGTTGTTGATATTTTATAGGAATAGCTAGAAAGCATAATAGAAATGCATACTTCCTGGTCTTCTGACTTTTTATCTCTCTGCCTCCTCTCCCATGATATTCCCTTAGTCATGGTTCAGGAATTGTGTTGTAAGCATATCGATTGGGATAGGGTATCACATGGCCAGTTGTTTTCTGCATTTTGGAAGATAATCTAAAAATGCTGGTAGGATGATAATGGATCTGGTTTCCTTGGAATCTATTTTTTTTTAAACTTGGAATGTGCTGTGCAAAGCAACAGCCCCAAGATTATGCAAACATAACCTTTTCTCTTCCTGTTCTATCATGTTTACTTTTTCTTCCTACCCAAGACTTTGACCCCTGCATGCTTATGAGTATCTTGTTTGACAAATATATCCTGATTTGTAATCCCTAGGGTCTTGCTGAGAATTTGTTGATTTGCAGGATCACAACATCGAACTCCATCTGCAGTATCATGGTGATTCTCTCTCAAGACTGTGCTTAGTGACTCCCTGCATTCAGCACAGCTCACCTTTTTCTCCTTGAAATGCCCATGTGTCTCAGGATCCAGTTGCTGGAGTTATATCACCTTCTCAATTTTTCATACCTTTCTTTCCTTTCACTGTTCCTTGTGGTAGTAGCTAAGGTCTGACTCATGTCCATATTTGATAATGAAGACAATAAAATTACTCCCTAGGAAATATTTCCTTTCTTGAACAGGAACTGCAGCTTACTGATCACATGGCCACAAACCTGACCTCTACTATACCTCCAACATTATTTATTTTCTTTTCCACCTTTTATTAAACATAGATTGTTTTCCCATACAATAGAATCTGAACAGTTTTCTCTCCATCTACTCCTCCAAGTTCCTTCTCATCTCTTCTCCTACCTGATCCATATCCACTCTCCCTCTTTCTCTCATTAGAAAAGAATGGGCTTCTAAGCAGTAACAACAAAACGTAACAAAATGGAATATAGTCCTGACAGAACACCAACAGCATTGGCTCTAAGAGCAACAATCAATAAATGGGACTTCATGAAACTGAAAAGCTTCTGTAAAGCAAAGGACACTGTCATCAAAACAAAACGACAGTCTACAGATTGGGAAAGAATCTTCACCAACCCTATATCTGACAGAGGGCTAATATCCAGTATATATAAAGAACTCAAGAAGTTAAACAGCAACAAATCAAGTAATCCACTTAAAAAATGGGGAACAGAGCTAAACAGAGAATTCTCTGTAGAGGAATATCGAATGGCAGAGAAAGATTTAAAGAAATGCTCAACGTCATTAGCCATCAGGGAAATGCAAATGAAAACGACCCTGAGATTTCACCTTACACCCAACAGAATGGCTAAGATGAATAACTCAAGTGTCAAGACATGCTGAAGAGGTTGTGGAGAAAGGGGAGCCCTCCTTCACTGCTGATGGAAATGTAAACTTACATAACCATTTTGGAAATCAGGCTGGCGCTTTCTCAGACAATTAAGAATAGTGCTTCCTCCAGACCGAGCTATACCACTCCTAGGCATATATCCAAAAGACGCTCAAATATACAACAAGGACATCTGCTCAACCATGTTTGTAGCAGCTTTATTTGTAACAGCCAAAAGCTGGAAACAGCCCAGATGTCCCTCAGTTGAAGAATGGATACAGAAATTGTGGTACATCTACACAATGGAATATTACTCAGTGATAAAAAAACAAGGAAATCATGAAATTTGCAGGTAAATGGGAACTGGAAAAGATCATCCTGAATGAGGTATCCCAGAAACAGAGAGAGACACATGGTATATACTCACTCATAAGTGGATGCTAGACATATAATATAGGATAAACATACTAAAATCTGTACACCTAAGGAAGCTAATCAGGAAGGAGGACTTTGGCTAAGATGCTCAATCCCCACTCAGAAAGGCAAAGAGGATAGACATCAGAAGAGGGAGAAAACAGGGAACAGGACAAGAGCCTACCACAGAGGACCTCTGAAAGGCTCTACCCTGCAGGGTATCGAGGCAGATGCTGAGACTCATCGCCAAACATTGGGCAGAGTACAAGGAATCTTATGAAAGAAGTGGGAGATAGTAAGACCTGGAGAGGACAGGAGCTCCACAAGACAACAACAGATCCAAAAAGTCTGGGCTCAGGGGTCTTTTCTAAAACTGATACTCCAGCCAAGGACCACTTATGGAGATGGCCTGGAACCCCTGCATAGAGGTAGCCTATGTCAGTTCAGTGTCCAAGTGGGCTCTATAGTAATGGGACAGGGACTGTCTCTGACATGAACTGATTGGCCTGCTCTTTGATCACCTCCTCCTGGTGGGGAGCAGCCTTACCAGGCCACAGAGGAAGACAATGTAGCCACTCCTGATGAGACCTGATAGACTAGGATCAGAGGGAATGGGAGGAGGACCTCCTCTATCAGTGAACTGGGAGTGGTACATGGGTAGGGAAGAGGGAAGGTGCGATGGGAGGGGAAGACAGAGGGAGGTACGGGGGGGGATACAAAGTGAAAAAACTCTAATTAATAAAAATCATAAAATAAAATAAATTAAAAAAAGATAAAACCCAAACCATCACATCAAAGTTGGACAATTCAAGCCAACAGAAAAAATAAAATAGCCCCAAGAGGAGACGTAAGAATCAGAGACCCACCTGTTTACACATCCAGGAGTCCATAAAAGTGCCAACTGAAAGCTGCAGTACATATTTTAGAGGACCTGGTGCAGACCTGTGATTGCTGATTTAATCTCTGTGGGTTCAGATGAGCTTTGCTCAGTTGTCAAACAGTATTTTGAATTTTATGTACTAACCAAGGTGGTATTATTATTATTATTATTATTATTATTATTATCACACTGGCTCAGGGCCTGGGCAGAAACAAGCATTCCTATGGGAGCCCAGTGCATGTGGGTGGGAGATAGTGAGTAGGATGCATTAGAAAGATATACAAAGACCTCCTTCCAATTGATGAGTCTCTAAACACTGAGGAAAATGGGTGCTTTCCAGTGTTCTCTTCCTCAAGCAAAGGCCATTGCCTTAAAATACCCTGTTCTGCTGACTGGCGAAAGCAGAAGTGTGGCTAAGCAGATATTACTGATTCGGAATGATAGACATGTTAATCCTAGCCATCACCAAATATTACAATGTTATCATCTCCCGTCACGCTTACTGAATAGCCTGCACCATCAGATAGGGTACTGACTATTATATACTTTCTTGGCTGTATATTTGGAGTAGAACATTGACTAAATGTCTAGAATCAAAGGAGAATGAAACTGAGAAACCATCTTTAAACATCCTTCTGGGAAACAGG